CCAGTTCAGTGTCATCAGCAAACTTGCTGAGGGTACATTCTATACCCTCATCCAGGTCCTTGATGAAGATGTTGAACAACACCAGTTCCAGTACCAACCCCTGAGGGACCCCACCAGTCACACACCTCCAACCAGATTCTGCCCCATTGACTACAACTCTCTGACTCCTTCCTTTCAACCAGTTCTTGATCCACCTCACTACCTGATCACCAAACCCATACCTGATCAGCTTATCTACAAGGATGCTGTGGGAGAAGGTGTCAAATGCTTTACTGAAATCCAGATCAACAGCCCCAGGGCTGTGCTGAGAGCAGGTCATTTGGTGGAGGAGGAGGTGAGGCATCTCCCTGCCTTGGGAGGTGCTTCTGGGGCAAGGGGTGCTTTTTGGGGGTGCTGGGGTGGGCACCAAGTGGTGATTCCTCTTTGGGAGAGATGCTGTTGAAATGAGGGGGGCTCAGGGGGGTCTTCAGTGAGTCATTGGCATTGTCACCTTGAGTGAGGTGTCCCCATGGTGCTGGCATCTCAGCTTCAGGCTCCATTAGCTGCTTTGAGGGCTTCTCCTCTTGCCTGTGGGATGATCCTGTTGCTTCCTCCATGGAAGCTGCCAACAAGACTCCCCTGCTGCTTTGGAGCACTCCCCAAATCTGAGGCTTCACTGGATGGAGACCTGCTCCCAGCTGAGCCCTGTGGGGCTCACATGAGCAAGAGTGGTCATCTCAGAGCTTCATGATCTCATGGGGAGATGCCCAGCTCAGGCAGTGGGACATCTGAGTGCCTCCTCCAGCCCCACAGGGCCTGCCAGAGCCTTTGCCTGCCCAGAAACAGGGTACAAGAAAGCTCAGGTGATGCCACTTAGATGTTTCCAAGGTGCTGCCCTTGCTTGGTTGTTATGGCTTGAGAAGTGACTTCCCTCTGGCTCTGCAAGGACAGGGTTAAATGAACCATCAGTGGGGGTGTCAGAGGATGGCTTGGAGATGAGTTCAGCAGTTACAGCCCCTCCTTCTCCTTAAGAGGAGGAAAGAACATCCCTTGGCCCCACTCTTGGTTGCCACTGGGAGAAGCCCACGGGTAGCAAACACTGGGTTGGCCAGTGTTCCCATGGGCAGTGCTGGTGAGGGGCTGGGCTGGAGGGATGTGCAGCATGGCCAGGAAAAGGAACTGAGGATGAAGCCCTTCTATGAAAGAAGAAAAAAAGCCACCAGGATGCTCAGAAGGATGTTGGGGAGCTGTGCCTGGTTCCCTGGGGGCTCCAAAACTGGAGCAGGATGTCTCTGCAGGTGAGTGTGGCAGTGCCCCTGGCTGGGTGAGAGGGGCTGTGGGTGTCCCCAGTGCTGCTCTGTAACCAGGGGGTGAAAAAACTCCGTGGGGCCCTTTAGCAGTTGGATTTCACAGGGATAGAGGGTCCAGAGAAGGACCAGGGAGATGCTCAGGGGGCTGGGGCAGCTCTGCTGGGAGGGGTGAGGCTGTTTTTAGGTCCCTTCCAGCCTTACCCTTCCTGTGGCTCCTGGCTGAGCACATCCCAGGTGCTGCTGGGGGTGAGGGACAGGAGCAGCAAGGTGCCTCTGAGGGTGGGGGTGGAGAAATGGAGGCTGTGAGGTCCTTGGCATCTCCCTGGGGAGGGCTGAGCTTGCCCACCCTAGGTTGGGGTGCTAAGGGAGCTTTTGGGCAAGGAAGCTGCTCTCCCTCCAGGTCCAACAGGGCTTTTGTCTCTTGCTGGCAGGTCTTCTCCCCCTGAAGAGGGTTGGGAAGTGTGGCCAGGAAGGCGTGAGGGCTGCCAGGAGCTCTTCAGCAATCCAGCCTTCATGGAGGAGACAATGAAGAGCTTCATGGGGAGCACTGGGGGCAGCAGCCTCGTGCCTGGCCAGGGTCACAGAACCACAGGCTAGTTGGGGTTCAAAGGGACCTTGAAGTTCTTTACTCCCAACCCCCCTGCATGGGCAGGGACACCTCCCACCAGCCCAGGCTGCTCCAAGCCCCATCCAACCTGCCCTTCAACACTGCCAGGGATGGGGCAGCCACAGCTTCCCTGGGCAACCTGGGCCAGGCTCTCACCACCCTCACACTCCAGAATTTCCTCCTCATCTCTCACCTCAATCTCCCTCTCCCAGTTTTAATCCATCCCCCTTGTCCTCTCCCTCCCTGCCCTTGTCCCAAGTCCCTCCCCAGCTTTCCTGGAGCCCCTTCAGGCACTGGAAGCTGCTCTAAGGTCTCCCTGGAGCCTTCTCTTCTCCAGGCTGAACACCCCAACTCTCCCAGCCTGGCTCCAGAGCAGAGCTGCTCCAGCCCTCCCAGCATCTCTGTGGCTCCTCTGGCCTCTCTCCAACAGCTCCATGTCCTTTTGCTGGGGGCTCCAGCACCAGAGCCAGCCCTGCAGGGGGGTCTCACACTCCCTGGCCCTGCTGGGCAAACTGCTGGTGACACATTCCAGGGCAGGGTTGGTTTCTGGGCACGATACCAGCTCATGTTGAGCTTCTCATCCAACATCCCCCCCCTTCTCCTCAGGGCTGCTCTCAATCCATTCCCCAACCTCTGTTTGTGCCTGGGGTTGCCCTGAGCTCAGGTGCAGGACCTTGTTGAGCTCCATGAGGTTGGTGTGAGCCCACCTCTCCATCCCAGATCCCTCCTGGATCTCCAGACAAGCCTCTTACCCCAGGTGGTGGCCTCAGGTGAGCCCTGGGGCACTGCCCCTTGCCCCTCTCCTTCCTCAGGGCCACACCAGCTCCTGCCTGGACATAAAGGAATAAAATGCTCCCTCTCCCTTGCCAGGACATCCTGGGGCCCCAAAGACCAACCCAACCCCACCTGTGACACAGCAGGAGGCACCAGTGCCCATTTTTTTTACCTCTTTTCCTCCTGGAAAGCACTTTGCTGCTGGTGACACATCCCTAACTCATCTCTCCCATGGGAATGGGGTCCATCAAACCTTCTTGGTGGCCCAGCTGGGGGCTGTTCACTGGGGTGGGCTTTCCTGGGATGGCTCCTGGCCTGGAGCAGCAGGACAC